ATTTTTTTTCCTGCTTCTTTTTCTCTTATTTTTTTTTCTATTTTTCTTTCCTCAAGTTCTTCACTCTCTTCTCTTCTGTCATTTTCTTCTCTTCCTCTCCCCCTTCCTCCCTTACTTCCCTCTCCTAAATGTTCGTGACCCTCCGCAATCGTAATTTCAGCGATTTTAGCGATTTGGCTAATTTTATTTTTTATTTTTTTTTCTGCTTCTTTTTCTCTTGTTTTTTTTTCTATTTTTCTTTTCTCAAGTTTTTCACTCTCTTCTCTTCTGTTGTTCTCTTCTCTTCTTCTTCCCCTTCCTCTCTTAATCCCTTCTTTTAAATATCTATAACCCTCTGCAACTGTAATTTCAGCGATTTGACTGATTTTATTTTTTACTTTTTTCCCTGCTTTTTTTTCTCCTGTTTTTTTTTCTATTTTTCTTTCCTCAAGTTCTTCACTCTCTTCTCTTCTGTCATTCTCTTCTCTTCTTCTCCCCCTTCCTCCCTTCCTCCTTTCTCTTAAATGTCCGTGACCCTCCACGACCGTAATTTTGACAATTTCGATTTCACCCTCTTCTCCACTTTTTCCTCCACCCTCCCTGTATTTTTGTGCTGTCTCTTTCTCTCCTTTTCAGCGGTGGCCCAATTCTCCTGAGGTTCGATTATTATTATTGGTTTGTTCATGTTAACCAGAAGAAATTTATAAAAAAAAAAAAAGATTATCATCATCAAAATTATAATTATTATATTATATAATTATAATATTATAATTATAAAAAAAGAAAATATAATTATGATATTATAATTAATAATTATATAATATATTGATTATATAATTATAATATTATAAAAGAAAAATACAATGATTAATTGCGATTATTCACAATTAATCACGATTTTTATAATTATCCATTAACATTTGTACTCGACTATATAGTTGATAGTCGATTAACCGCGATTTTGTATTTGCGATTCCTAACACTACTTATGCATTCAAGATGTATTGGTTTCCGCTCTGTATTTATTGCATCTATTCTTGCGTGATGTATTGAAACACAATCTCTAAAGCATTCATTATCATTGAAATTTTGCGAATTAATTAATTCAAGCTGTGGTTTACTTAAAGTTTCATGAAGAGGTAACCAGCTACTACCACACAATGGTCTATTTCGAGAAATACCTCTTCTGCTCAGACAATGACCATTCAGATTCTTGTAACACTTCATCTTTTATTTCATCAATAATTTCATTATATTCTTTTTCTATAGTTGTGTTAATTCGATCTTCTTTAATAATTTTTATTGTTTCATGCTTGAATGGAAAAGTTTTATATAAAGGTTCTGAATTTTCAGGTTTAATTTGTTTAATATTTGTACATAATACAATTCTTACCTTTAATCCTTCTTTTAAGCCTAATTCTCTTTTATATACATTAGCAATTTTTTTCTCAATTGATTCAAAGAAGCCTAATGGCTCACCTTCAGCATAGTATTCTTTTGATACAAATGCATAATAATCACATACCTTACCTTCATTAAATTTTTCAGTTTCTGTTATTCTATTAATATAGGGATCATTAATTTTTTCAAAATAGACTCAGGATCTTCATCAGCTGTATCATATTCTGAATCACTTGGTTCGCTATCTTTATCATCATCTGTCTCCATTAAATCAAACCATTCTTCATCAGTTTTAGACATAGGCTTTGATCTAATTTTTTTATTATTTTTTATTTCTGGTTTTGATAACCATTTTATTATTTCATCTATCGTTAAAATTGATTTCTTTTTTTGTTCTCCTTGATTATTAGAACTCGGCTCCACTTTTATATCTGGAATATCTTCAGTTAAAAGGTCGACTGCTGACACATTTTCTTCTCTCGGCTAGAGTGTTGGTGAGTTTTCATCAAACGAAATGTGATCGCCCTCTGGAGCTGGTGCTGAATTTTGTGTTGAAGTAATATTTTGCACTAGAACAGGAGCTGTAGCTGAATTTCCTATTGAAGCTTGAGTAAAATTTTTAGGTCAGTAAGAATTTTTTGATTTAAATGTTGTTGATATTTCTGATATGTAGAAAGATTTAGATCACATCTATCACAAGTAGTATTTTTAGCCATCGTGTATAAAAAGTAATATATATTACTTTATAAAAATCTTTACTTTAATTAATTATTTATCCTAATTAAATATGATCAGTAAATATACCTGCCAATATATACATAATTTTGGTAAAATTTGTGGTGCTTTATGTACACGTCCTGAGAGATGCCGTCTCCATTATGAAGCAAAAAAATATGTACTTTGTACTGATTGTGGAAAACCAACTGCTTCTACTTGTGGACAATACAAAATTCATAAAAGAGAATATTATGTTACATCTTATTATCAAAGACTTTGTGAAAAAACTTTAGAGCAGAGCTCATGCCAAGGCATAGAAACGTGATTAAGCCTTAGAATGTAGCTTGTTTCTTTGAAATAGAATTTTTGGTTAAATTGGTATACTTAAAAATTTGTTATTTATTTTTATTATCTTTTTTTACTATTTGTGTGTTAACTAAACAAGTAACTATACTCTGCTTCTCCAGAACAGAAAATGTTTTAGTGATCAAATATGATAATTATACTCCGCTACGCTTCACATCCGGAGTCGCTATACTCCTCCGTAACTAAAAACAATTTAGAAATCAAATAAGTAGGCATTTATAAAAGTTATTAAGAATAAGTTAAAAGCTTGAAATCTATAGAATAGATTAGAGTTAACCAAAATTACATCATCTGTGTACCTAAAAATTTTATCCATATTTTTTTAAAACAGAAAACATTCTAGTAATCAAATACGATAACTATGTTTCGCTACGCTTCGCATCTGAAGTCGCTATGTTCTCCCGTAACAGAAAGCAATTTAGTAATTAAATATAATAACTATGTCCCTCTGTAACAGAAAACATTCTAGCAATCAAATACGATAACTATACTTCGCTACGCTTTGCATCTGGACTCACTATGCTCTTCTGTGACAGAAAGCAATTTAGTAATCAAATATAATAACTATGTCCCTCTGTAACAGAAAGTAATTTAGTAATCAAATACGATAACTATGCTCTGCTACGTTTCGCATCCAGACTCGCTATGCTCCTCTGTGACAGAAAACAATTTAGTAATCAAATGAGAAAGCATATATTTTGATTAAATTGATGTATTTTTAATTAAAAAAATTGATTTATGTATCCTTATAAGAAAGTTATCGAGAATATAATAAAAAGTTTAAATCTATAGAAATAGATTAAATTTAATCAAAAATACACCGAAATTGTTCTAAAAAGTCCACTATCCTAATACTTATGATTATAAAACTGATCCAAAAAGAAAAAGGAGAGAGAATAAAAATTTTGGACAAGAATATACATGTTCCCAAAATTGATTTTGGATTTTTGAGGTATTTCGACTTTTTGAGATTTATGCAAAATCTATTCTAT